TCTTTTATGTAATAATCAAATCTCTTAAAATTTCATATGCAATTGCTATAGTAATAATTTTAATATTGTTTTATCTAATTAGTTTGTCATAATAACCAAGATTGTAAAAATTATATTGTTGCGAGCAATATAAAGATTAATATATAAGTTAAATAATCTATATTTATATCATTAATTTATACTAATGTTAAAATCTATAAAATGTCATATGGTGATGTTTTATTTAATGATTTTAACTATTACATACACATATAACGTTAATTCATTCAGAAATACAAATCAATCATTCTTATACATCGTAACTTTAATTGATTATTCATGCACTCTCATAATTTTACCGACTAAATACTTCCAATCATCTAGATCATAATTTTGGGTAATGCCACATTCTCGTTATGGAACCATTCGTTGGATTTGTATCTGTTAGATGCACATTTCTGTTATGTATCATGTGCATCTAACGGTTACAAATTCCAACGGAATGGTTCCGTAACGTGATTGTAGCATTTTCCCATACTTTTTATATGAAATCACTCAATAATTTCAATCATCTCTATCATACTTTTTATATAAAAACATTAATTCTTTTGTTTTAAATATTATTTTAACACAAATTGAAGATATCATTTGAATTTAACCTAAACATATATTTTTTCAAAATTAAAACTAATTATAAATGCCCAATCAAAACTCAATATATTTATATCCAACCAAACTCATAGGGGTGATTGTTTATCCATTCAACAAAAAAAGGAAAAAATAAATAAATTAAAACTCAACTTTAACTCAACCACACTATCATCAATATTATCGATATAATTAATTAATATTAACCAATCATTTTTACACATAATTCACTATTTAATCCACTCACATAATTTTAATTAACTATAACTTTCAATCATTTTTCTCTATCAAATCAATTTTAAATATTTTATTTAAATATTATTTTAATATACTCACTAAGAACTAATCATACTATATTTTTTTTTAAATTAACTATAATTAAAAAACCAACCAAATAAAAACTAACCATAACCAATCACCCCTTAAGAACCGTTTATATAAAGCGCATCCCCTTACCCGAAACAGAGTAGACAAAACAATGGGTGGGCCCTCTACAGTTTCCCAAATCAGAGAGTCTTGCAAGGCTCATCACCCTCTTTTTTTATTTTTATCAGAAACTAAAAAATCTTCTGCTTTTGTAAAAACAGTTGTTAGGAAGCTGGGTTTTGACAACAGGTGTGCCATTGTAGATCCTGTTGGATTGAGTGGTGGATTAGTCTTATGCTGGAATAATGAAGTTCAAATCTCTCAAGTTATCTGCCAACAATTTTTCATTGCTGTGGAGTACAAAATGGCTGATGCTGCCCCTTCATGGGGAATCTTTGTATATCTTAGCACTTCAAACAACATCAGACAAGATCAATGGAGAGATCTAGCAACAGCCAAATCTCTCTGGGGAGACAACTGGTATATACTAAGTGATTGGAATGACATCAACTCTAAGGAGGACAAAAGAGGGGGAATCCCTAGATCAGAATCCAGCATGGCAGGCTTCAGAAACTTTACTAATCTGATGGGAATGGAGGAAATAAGGATGATTGGGAACAAATTCACTTGGTGCAACAACAGATTCACTGAAGGTCTGGTGGAGGAAAAATTGGACAGAGGATTTGCTTCACCTGAATGGCTAGAGAATCACCCTCATGCTTATATCTCTACTATGGCCAAAGCTTCCTCTGATCATTCAATGTTGATATTGCACATTGGGGACAATAAATCCAAAAGGAAAAGTAAGTTTTCCTTTGACAAAAGGTGGCTCACTAGAAAGGGTGTTGGTGATATTGTGAAAGCAGCTTGGAGCTTACCACAGTCAGGCACTCCTTTTTTCATCCTGAAAGAGAAAATTAAGACCACAAGACTGGCTTTGCTGAAGTGGAGTGCCTCTTTCAAAACTGAGAACCAATCTCTTATTGCAAATCTCTCAAAGAAGCTGGATCTTCTTCAAGAAAACAGAAACACAACTAACTGGGAAGATTGGATTAGCACAAAAAGAGAGCTTGAAGCTGCCCACAGATCTGAGGAAATTTTCTGGCAACAAAAAGCCAAAGTTCAGTGGCTGAAGGAAGGTGACTGCAACTCGAAATTCTTTCATGCATACACTATGCAGAGAAGGAGACAAAATGCAATCACTAGACTTGTTACAAGTCAGAACAGAGTCTGCAACACTCACAAGGAAATTCAAGATCATATAACAGATTTCTACTCTGAACTTTTTACCTCAGAAGGATCATGGGGAGGAGATTCCATCCTTCAGCTTATTCCTCACTCTGTCACCTCTGATATGAATCTTCAGCTCTTAAAAGCAGTAGATGAGGAGGAGATCAGAGCAACTCTCTTCAGCCTTCACCCTGAGAAATCTCCTGGAGAAGATGGTATGACAGCTTTGTTTTATCAATCTTTCTGGGAAACTATTAAACCTGAATTAGTTGCTGCTATAACTAGTTTCTTCCACAATGATGGTCTTCTTCTCAAATATTGGAATCACACTATAGTCTCATTGATCCCTAAATGCTTGAACCCTGATTTCATCACTCAGTACAGACCAATCAGTCTTTGTTCTGTAGTCTACAAAATTCTCTCCAAACTTCTTGCCACAAGGTTGCAAAACTGTTTGAATGTTTGCATTAGTGAATCTCAGTCTGCTTTTATTAAGGGCAGACAAATGTTGGATAATGTCATTGTGGGGCAGGAGGCTTTCCATTTTCTTAATAGGCACAACTCAGAGAGGAACTGCTTTATGGCTCTGAAACTTGATCTTATGAAAGCCTTCGACAGAGTTGAGTGGATTTGTATCAAGAAGATCATGCTGTAGATGGGATTTCACAGTAACTTTGTCAAACTAATCATGATCTGCATTTCTTCTTGTTCTTACTCTTTCAAAGTTAATGGAGATGTTTGTGGCTATGTCTTACCTTCAAGAGGTATTAGACAAGGGGATCCTCTATCCCCGTACTTATTCATAATTGTTGCTGAAGTTCTTTCTGCCTTGGTTTCAGAGGCTCTCTTCTCAGGTTCTTTATCAGGCTTAAAACTCTCCAAGAATGGCCCCACAATCTCTCATTTACTCTTTGCAGATGACTCCCTGTTCTTCTGCAAAGCTAGCAGTGATCAAGCCTACACTATTCTTTCTATTCTGGAGAGATACAAACTTTTCACTGGGCAAACAGTCAATTTAAGCAAGTCTTCAGTTTTTTTTAGCAGGAACACTTCTGACCACCTAAAATCTAGCATCTGCTCAGTCCTTAATGGTATCACTCCTCAAAGGTCTACAAGATATTTAGGCCTCCCTCTGGGCATTGGGAAGTCTAAGGTTGAAACCTTCAGTTACATTGTGGACTCTGTTCAAGCCAAGCTTCAGAGTTGGAAATCCAAACTCCTATCCCAAGCAGGTAAAGCTGTTCTTATCAAAGCAGTTCTTCAAGCCCTCCCAATCTTTTCTATGTCATGCTTCAGACTTCCCAAAACCCTCTGTGCTTCAATTTCAAAACTTTGCTCTAATTTTTGGTGGAATTCTGGGGAAGAGCTCTCTCAAGGGATTCATTGGAAAGCCTGGCATTTGCTCACAACTCCTAAAGATGAGGGAGGTTTAGGCTTTCTTGACCTGCAGCTTCTCAATGTAGCTCTTCTTTGCAAACAATTATGGAGGATCACCACAAAACCAAATCTCTTGGTCAGCAAGCTGCTAAAGGACAGATATTACCCCAATTGTTCAATCTTTGAGGCTGTTAAGACCCAAAACTGTTCCTGGTTATGGTCCAATTGGCTTGATGCCATCCCTACCTTTGCAAAAGGATTTGCTGTGATGATTAGATCTGGTGATTCAACTAGAATTTCAGATGTGAACTGGGTGCCTCAGCTCAGTCACCTCAAGCCTTCTTTGCTGGATTTTGCTGAGGGCCACTTAATTTGGGTGAAGGAATTGATCAAGGATCATGGTCTGGAGTGGAATGATTGGTTAATCAATCATGTCTTCAATGAGGAAGATAGCAGAGCCATCCTCAACATCAAAACTCTTAAGCCTAACTCTGCAGACAAGCAGCTCTGGAAATTTCACTCCAAAGGTACATTCACAGTTTCTAGCACTTACTCATTCTTAATTCATCAAAAACTTCTGTCCCTGGACTTGCCAAGCTGTAGCAATTTGAGTGCTAGAACATTGACCAAAACTAACAGCAGACTGTGGAAATTGAAAGTGATGGGGAAGGTTAAATTATTTGTCTGGAAATGCCTTAATAACTTCCTTGCTGCCAAAACAAATTTGATCAAAAAAGGCCTGCAGCTTGATGTGATTTGCTCCATCTGTGGTGAAGCACCTGAATCTGTCCCTCATATCTTATTCCATTGTAAAAGGGCAGTTGAGTTATGGCACATATCCCCTGTCACTTGGGACATCAATCCCTCTCAAGATTTATCCTTCAAAAGCTGGTGGCTCCATGTCTGTTCTGTGGACAATTCAGAAACATCAGAGGCCCGTATTCAATTGTCAACATACATCCTCTAGTGGCTCTGGAAAACCCGCAACCTTAGCATATTCCAAAACTCTCTCATGCCAGTCCAGTTGGTTCTTAAAGCAGCTATGCAGGATTGGATGGAATTTTCTCAAGCTATCTCTCTTAATTTATGATCTGTTTGTTTTTGTTTTAGTTTGTTCAGATTTTGGCTCTTGTAGTAGTTTGTTTTATCATCTCTAGGCCTTTGGGCAGTGGAGTGTGGTTTATTTCTTCTATTTGTAGTTTTTGTTTGTTGAGGTTCTAGGCCGCCTTGGGCGTGTCCTCTCATTTTTAGTTTCTTCGGGTTTGGCCTGTACTATTCGAACATTGTTCGTTTTGAGTTTATATATATTCTCTATCGTTTCGTGAAAAAAAAAAAAAAAATCGTCACAATCTTTTTACATAAGACCAAAATCCATTAGGTTTTCATCAATTTGATAGGGAATGTCGATGTTGAAGAATGTTTCTCAAAGACCCTCCTTCGGTTCCAGGTATTTTTCGAGGAATTTCTCATCAATCGAACCCATTCACTCGATTCACATTCCATTAGGGTTTCATCGATTCAATATGGGAATGTTGATGTTGAAGAATGTTGGTCGACGACCCCCCTCAAGTTCCAGGTATTTTTCGAGGACTCTCTCATCAATCGAACCCATTCCCAAAAGCCATCTGAAAATTGAGAGAAAGCTGCCTCTTTTGCTTCGTTTACATGGAAACAACATTGAGGTAGACGTCGGGTTTAGGCGTACCTATTTCTCTCTGCTTTCCTGGGACGACAAATCATTATCCACACAACTCCACTTGCCATTTCCTACAATTAATCACGTGAGCTATTGTGATGGAGTGGTGTGCGTCGCCGCTGGGTTAATAAAGGATAGAGTTGCCCTTTGGAACCCGTCGACTGACGAATTCAAGTTCCTTCCTAAGACCAGCATCCAACTCCATCCAGATGCTGATCATCTCATGTTTCATCCTCACGTGATTGGGTTTGATAGTCATGCTCAAGATTTTAAAGTACTAAGGTTCGTGACAACCGTTTTTCCTGAAGAATATTATCTTGTGCCCGTGACGCAACAATTGGAGTTGTACTCCCTAAAGTCCGATTCTTGGGAGGAATTACCTTATAACCTTTCTACTGATTTCTCCTATAATTCTGCTTCTGTAAATGGGGTTGCTTATTGGTGGGTTGAGATAAACGCTAGTATGGTACTTCTTACCTTTGACTTTGCAAGTAAACAGTTTTCTTTCCTTGATCTTCCGGATTCTGCTAACCGTGCTGCAGAATTTTATACACTGCATCTTGCCGAGCGGGATGGGTCGCTTGCAACTATAATCTACCCAAAATATGCAGAGGAAAAAACTTTTGAATTGTGGGTGAGATGTCATGATGGTTCCTGGGAGTGGATATCCACTTTTTGTGTTCCTGGTGTTGATGTGCCATTAGGGTTCTGGACAAAAGATGATCTGCTTTTTCGAGGCAAAGATGAATATCTAATCCTTTATCACATTGTCACTCAAGATGTTAAGCATCTTAATATCTCTGATGATCTTCCTTGTCTGAAGTTTGTTCCTTGTGTGGAGAGTGGATTTCAGCTTGTTGGGAAATCAGAGTTTAAAAACAAAGAGGTATAGTAATATTTTGAGAATAGTCAATATTTGGTGTTGGGGTCTTGGTATAGCCTATTTTAAACTTATGGTGGTGATGTATTTTGTTGTTTCCTAGTAACTTAATAAAGACAGAGTCTTTTGGATACATCAACGCTGGAACGTTTATCAGAATGTTTTTTTCTTGTTGTATCTGTTGATAATTTGATATCTTGGATATTTTACTTTATACGTTTTTGTCATTGTATCCGAACCCTTCTTTCCTGTTGGAATGCCTTTGCATATGTTGTATGATAGCCACTTTGAAAATGCTACCTTGTTTTGCATGTGTCCTGATTTGAAAAAATGAATCTTTAACGATCCTGACAATGATTTGCAAGGTTACACCCAGCGGTCAAATCCGTGAAAATCACACCACTCAACCTTTCTCTCACCAGTGGTGAGACACGTAGTGAAGGGTGATAAGTGTACCCATTTTTTCTCTCTCTGAAAATAGGCGATTCACGTTTCCTTTTTCCTCTTGCCCTAGTTTTTTCAGAGCTGTCGTGCCTCCTCTAGCGAGCCGCCGGACCCTCGACGGTGGCCACACCTAGGCTGCGCGATTTAGTTCTCGCACATGGAGGGTTCGATGGCCAGGCCAGTAATGATTTCGCCGCAACCCCTGGTCGCCTAATTGGGTCGCTGGGCTTCGATCTCCTAGGCGGTGAGGCGGCGAAGGTTCTGTGGGGTTGGGTGTGTGGCCCCGACGACCTTGTCCTGGTGGTGGTTGGGGTTGAGGAGAGTGGACTCTCCACCCCGGTTCCCTTTGCCTCTTGTGCGTGGGCTGAGGGGACGACCGTCATGACGAGCCTGGCCAATAGTGTAGGCTGTGCTTGGGACGGTGGTTTTGTGGTGGGGTTTGGTTCGGTTTTGTCCAGCGTAGGGGTGGCGCCGGCCGCTTATGTGCAGGATTCTGGTACTAAAGACTAGGGGCGAGATTCGACCTGTTTTGGTGGTCGGCCGCGTGCTGTTGTCGTGGTTTGTTCGATGTTGGCTTTAGTCAGTATTTATGTAGTGTTTGTTTGTAGTAAATTTTTTTGTGTTTCTCTGTTTCTTGGGTGTTATTATCCTTTGGGATACTTATTCTCCTATTGGAAGCGTGTATTAGGGTGCGTCGCGATAATCAAGGCTCCCGTATGGGATGTCTTTCGACTAGATTCGGCTTCTCGTCGAGCTTTAAATGTAAATATGTGTTCTTTATCTCTTTTATAAAAGCCTACCGTGTTGAAAAAAAAAAAAAAAACGATTCTAACTTGTCCTCACTTGATCAAAGTGGAATCCCTTGCTTATAAAACCATTTATTCTTTTTTCCTTATTAGTAGTGCATATCCTGTGCGATGCACAAATGAGCTTTTATTTCTTATATTTTATTAGACTTTATTTTAAATATAACTATTTATAATTTTCACATCTCATCTCATTATGGAAATAAAATAAATACAACAAAGAAAAATATATATTATTAAACACTTCTCTGTGCATAATATTTTTTATTTAAGAAATATAATTAAACTTTGCAGTTTTGATTATTTTTTTTTTTAAAATCAATTATTCAATGTATGATGATTAACCACTACAAAAATTATTAATTCTAGCGGTACTTTATTTTAAATTTAGTAGAAGTTTAATAGAAGTCGCAAGTAATTTAATAGAAGTTTCAAAAACCGTTCGAAAAAGTGACGCTATATATTTACCACAATGAATGCATTTTTGCAACATTAGGTAGCGACAGTTCATAACCGCATCTACTTATAATGTGGCGACAATTTTTAACCGTCGCAATCAATATACATGTTTTTTTTTTTTTCGTGGCAATTGTCAAAACCGCAACTAACATTTATCACCAATTAAATTAAATTTACTGTAGCATTTTTTTTGTAATTCCTGCCTATTCCATCATTCAACTTATTATAAATATAAGATTATTATAACGCAATTGACCAACAAAATATCATGATTTACTTAACCAATAATATCATCCAACATGTAGAATCATCGACATGAAAGCCAACACAAATATCTCCAAATTTTAGAAGTTTATCACCATAGTACATAAAATTCACTAACAAAAGTAAATAACCCAAAACGAAAACCCTAGTTAGAGTCCAAAAGAAGGCGTGTAACAACCGTAAATTACGTCACGACTAGAGTAAGAATCTCTTCTTTCATTGTACGATGAAGGTGGGTGCGTATGTAGATTTAGTTATGCCTCACAACTCTGGAGATTTTGAAAACTTTATTATAAAAGCACAAGTAATAAACATAACATTTTAGTAAGAAATACCCAATTTTTTATGTTTGATTTAGCCAACTAGCAAATTGTTTGGGTTATTTCCCTAGCGAATTCTCGAAAATTGTAGCAAGAGCCTCGCCTAGATTCTTTTTCATATCTTCCATTCTACATTTTGTGCTTGCAACTGAAGACTTTGAGCTCGCAATATTGATTTCATAGCAGCTAACTCTTTTTCCATACTAGCAACATATTCTCTCATTGACCATCATTAGACAATGATCCAAATCGACATCCGAATGCAATAGTCGGACATGGTCCAAAACCTGTCCCAAGAACACGACCTGCGTGCTCTTTTCCAAAAACCGTACCAAGAGGATCATCAGGTAAAGCATAATGAGACTCGAAAGAATATGAACTTCGACTCATTTCCTGTAAAATTTCATCTTGGGAGGAGTGACAAATAGAAAATATTAAAACTTTCATCCGACACATATAATGGAACTGAATGTAATTATATTTGACCTTGTTATCATAAGATGGTAATGATATCTGTGTATCTGTTTTCCTTTATATAATGTATATTGATATGGGATATTATATGTACCAGACCGGTTCGCCGAATCTGTGGAATGAACCGTGTTAGTCGATATGATCGAGTGGGATGCCCGTCAACCACGAAGGTCTGGAAACTAAAGATAGTCGAATCCATGAGGTCTTGGTAAGCCTCGATGTACAACAGATCTAGTCGAGGACTCAGATGGTCGATCGTGACCGAGGCTGGTCGTTATATCGACCATTTGTTACTAATGGATTGACGCAGCAGACCACCTGGATATGTCGAACCCAAGAGCCTCAAAGGAAATCTACAGCATGTGCACAGGAGACACGTGGCGCGCACGGGTTGGTCTAGGACGATAACGGTCTCTGACATTCCCAAACGCACTCTAACACATTCCTGACACCAAAGTAGTGGAGGCAGACGAACCGGGGAGTTAGGATAGCCAGCTCAGCTTGCTCGGCAGCGTCTAGGGAAGGTAATTCGCCCCTATAAATAGGGGCGAATCCTCTCGTTTTACCAACAATCTCATATACACTTACATATTTTCCATACATATTTATCATCTTCTCAAGGCTGACTTGAGCGTTGGAGGCTCTTCACCGAAAAATCTCTCCGGTGTGAGAGTTACATGCAGATGCAGCGTTCTACCGGCGAGAAAGGCGAGCTCGAGACAATTTTCAGCCGGTCGGGGCGTTACACTTGTATAACATATGAAAATGTTAATTGACCCAATAACATGCCTGGTTTCATAAATCACATAAAGAGTCGAAATATGTAACAATGATATGGTAGAAGAATTTATAATTTACATAAGCATATTTTATAAATGAATTGAACACATTAAGAAAGCGACCATTTGGCGGGTGTTAGAGCCAAATCTTTGACCCCATTTGCAAGATCTTGTTAGCTGCAAATTCTTCAGGTTTATGCATATACCCTGCCAACAAATATGACTATTCCCTAGTTTTATTATATTTTCACCTGAACATATATATGGCGCACATTTTCTTCCATTTGTATCTTAATCATGTATCATTTTCACTATTTTTACAGCAATTATCTTAGAGTTATATAATATGTATTTGTAATACCATACCTCAATAATAAATCAAAAATCAAAGAAGTGTTTCCAAAAACCTTGTTTTAATTATTAAGGAGAGGAAGAGAAGAATTTATCAACTCACAGATTTACTTTTAGCTTCGTCGTTAACATCGTCCCGTCTTGTCTCTTGTGTGTATCAAGCCGTGATTCTGAGCAATAGACCTTATGACCGAGTTCTTTTTCTTGTATGGTAATTACATTTCGTGTTAATACATTGCGTTCACAAGACGATAGAGATTAAATAATCAACTCAAAGAAAATAATCACAGTACCATTTCAGCTCTCCTCTTATAAAAACTTTTAGATCCATTAGTGTGTGGAATTTTTTGACACTTTCTACTTTCAACATTTGTCCGACACATTTCCTAATAATACATAAAGAAATTATTACATGATGCAACGTACATAAAAATTAGAATTATATGCATTACCTTTGACTTTTCAGATAAACGATTGATAACAAAAGTTGACCATTGATCTCGATGGATTCCAGCTGGGGAATTGCTTATTAATTGTTCTCTGGTGAATCTAGGACAAACAAGTAGAAGTTCTTAGTTCTTAGAGATTTCAACCGCCTTTTTTCACTTAAATCATATTCATATGTTGAAGAAAAAGACGTTGCAATGAATCAACTTCAACCTTGGGACAGAAGGGTCATAAATTCTACCCATAATGTTGACTTGTGATTACTCCACTTTCTCCCGATATTGCTAAGAATCCACCCTTTTGCTATCTCGGCATTTTCAAAGTGACATTTTGTCTTCAAGATAAGACACGGAACATGAAATCATATTAGAAACTTAAAAATTTAAAAGAATATATTTCATTAATGTTAAGTTTACCATGGTTGATTTGTTGAATATATCATTTTTATATTGGCCTAATACTTTTCTCCAGTCATCATAGTTGATCAGAAATGAAGAAGCCTGCCTTGTTAGCTCATATAATACACTAGACAACAATCCAGCTGCATCCAAGGTGGGTGTTTGCATACTATCAAATGGAACCTTGACTCGCTCACCCGATGGAAGACTCCAAACATCAACTGTTTTCATTTTTTTTCCTTCACAACTCCTTCATCTCAATAAAATTTA